TATATCTATCTATCTATCTATTTTAGTCTATTCTCATCTATCTATCTTAGTCTGTTTATATCTATCTATCTATCTATCTATCTATCTATCTATCTATCTATCTACCAAAGGTTGTTCGTATCTATCTATCTAGAGATAAAGTTAGAGAGACAGACTGACATAGATATCTTTGTCAGCCTTTGCACATCTATCTATCTTATATATATATATATACATATATATATATAATTATTTATTTAAAAATATGATTCCAACACGCTACATCAGAGGTCTCATGTTTCAGACTAAGAGCCGAAAACTTCAATATAATTATTTGAATTAAATTGAATTAAAGTAAGCTGTTTCTTCGAAATTTTTTTTTACCTAACGAGTTCTTTCCTATTTTGTATATATTTTCACACACACACACACACACACACACACACACACACACACACACACACACACACACACATATATATATATATATATATATATATATATATATATATATATATATATATCAGGCTGCTCATACCTATCTACTGTACATTTTTATTTCTTCTGTTTATCTGCATTTGTCTCTTTATATACACATTTTTTATTATTCTCACTATATATATATATATATATATATATATATATGTGTGTGTGTGTGTGTGTGTGTGTGTGTGTGTATAAAAACAGAATTTGCATTTCTCAAGGCCTGTCTCATCCTATCCTTTTGGAAATGGATTGTATTTAAACTTTATTTAGATTCGTATGCGAAGTATTTGGAGGCCGCAGATGAACAAATTAATATTCTTTGTTTATGCGTAGGTCTGTGAACATTCGTGAGAAAGTTTGTTTGCTTTTAGGAACTGAGCGAGCAAATTGGCAAAATGGACGACGTGGAAGTGTCTGATAAAATGGCCGACCAAAAAAGGTTTCTAAAATAAATACTCCTGCATGTTCATTCGGTCAGATCTTCTGAAATGGGTCAGGCCAGAGATTTTTTAATATCTCCACCCGCTAGACAGGAAGAGATTAATATAAATATGAAGAAATGGATATATATATATATATATATATATATATATATATATATATATATATATATATAAAAAGAATCAATGTGTTTATTTTTCATCCGATATTTTTGTTACTTATTATAGTGGATACTTGCAACGCTGGATTAAATGGTGATTTCGCATATAAAAGGGGGTCGAAAGATCGATTCTTGCTGGAGAGGCCATTTTCTTAAGGTTTCTAATAAGCAATTTCAAATGCCCTGTATGTCCTGTTTTTCCAAGAAAATATATTTTTTTATTTTATCTTATTGTTTTCAAATGCCCATTTTAAATAATGTATTCTGTACAGTAAAAGTCTTTTAGCAGAATATATCAATTTTAAAAAGGTGCAAATTAAATTTAGCCGACTTTAATTCGGCGAAAATCAAAGAAAGTGGTAGCCTTAACTTGTTGGCTGGAGAGTCTCGTGGTGAGGATTGTGACTGAGGTAGTGTAGAGAAAATATGATATCAGTCAGTAGTACTGATCATAGACTGACAAAAATTAAATTAAAATTTCACACACACACACACACAGACATACACAGAGAGAGAGAGAGAGAGAGAGAAGATATATATATATATATAAACACATTTATTAGCATCAGCACTCAATGTGATATATATATATATATACATATACACATATATATATATACATACATACATATATATATATATACATGCATACATATATATACATATGTGTATATATACATACATTCATATATATATATATATATATATACATATATATATATATGTATACATATATATATATATTCATGCATACATATATATATGTGTATATACATACATACATTCATACATATATATATATACATACATACATATATATATATATATACATATATATATATACATGCATACATATATATATATGTGTATATACATACATACATTCATACATAATCTCCAAATTTTTGCGACGAAAAGAATTCACAGAGCTTTCTAATTGATTTGTATCCCAACCTTTTCGTCTGGCTTACATTTCTTGCTTTTCCCGGAAAAATAGAAAGTTATATATATATATATATGAAAATTTCTCCGATTTAACCAGTAGAGAAGACAATATGTATGAATAAAAATGACAATAGGAAAACTGGTAATTGCTGACGCGTTTCGTCCAATGTGGACTTTATCAAAGCAAAATACGAAAATGAAATTAGATGAACAAAGTAACTAATAAAAACAAAAACAGAATGTACCTAGCAACTGGAATGTAGAGAAACGCTATTTTCATATTTTTTAACTGAAAAATAACGTCAGAGATTGTCACGTGTGGACAATATTGTCATTATATCTGGGTTGATGTATTCAGCCATTTTCTTTCGATTTTATGAATCTGTTGTGTATATTTGATTGTAAGAGCATTAATTTTGTTAAGAAAGGTGAAATAAGGAAAAGGCCTGGGCGTAAATTAATATTTGGATAATTTTCTATGGCGGCACTCTCCTGAATTTTCCTTCTGAGTGAGTTATTTTCTTTTTTTATGAGTGTAGCATTTTTAAAATCAAAATTATGGTTGTATTTATTTCTATGTATGACTATTGCATGAGCTAAGTTGTTTTTTGTGAGGTCTCTTTTGTGCTCATAAATGTGTTTTTTCAAACTCCTACTTGTTTCTCCAATATATTGGGAGGAGCAGTTTTGGCAATTTATTTTATAAATGCCTCCTTCAGAAATATTAGTGCTATTATTGTTTGAAGATCTTAGTATATCTATAATGGTTTTGGAAGTGTTTGTGACTATTTCAAGATTATTTGCACAGCTTCTACTCAAACCACCCTTCAAAAATTAAATCTGGAATTATTATAGGTTTCTATCTAAGAGCATTAAGAATCTGTAGTCCTCAATATTTATTTAAAGAAGAAACATACATAGAAAACACATTCAAAAACCTACAATACCCATATCATTTCATCCACAATGCAAGAAGAAAGGCATACAAAATATACAAACGAAACAAAACTAATAACACAATCCGCAATAGTAAATCACATGAAAACAGATACATAATACTACCGACCAATTCTGCCACGTCCACGATCCAGAATAACCTATCCCATCTAAATAATCTTGAAATAGTCACAAACACTTCCAAAACCATTATAGATATACTAAGATCTTCAAACAATAATAGCACTAATATTTCTGAAGGAGGCATTTATAAAATAAATTGTCAAAACTGCTCCTCCCAATATATTGGAGAAACAAGTAGAAGTTTGAAAAAACACATTTATGAGCACAAAAGAGACCTCACAAAAAACAACTTAGCTCATGCAATAGTCATACATAGAAATAAATACAACCATAATTTTGATTTTAAAAATGCTACACTCATGAAAAAAGAAAATAACTCACTCAGAAGGAAAATTCTGGAGAGTGCCGCCATAGAAAATTATCCAAATATTAATTTACGCCCATGCCTTTTCCCTATTTCACCTTTCTTAACAAAATTAATGCTCTTACAAACAAATATACACAACAGATTCATAAAATCGAAAGAAAATGGCTGAATACATCAACCCAGATATAATGACAATATTCTCCACACGTGACAATCTCTGACGTTATTTTTCAGTTAAAAAATATGAAAATAGCGTTTCTCTACATTCCAGTTGTTAGGTACTTTCTGTTTTTGTTTTTATTAGTTACTTTGTTCATCTAATTTCATTTTCGTATTTTGCTTTGATAAAGTCCACATTGGACGAAACGCGTCAGCAATTACCAGTTTTCCTATTGTCATTTTTATTCATAAATATATATATATATATATATATATATATTAGTGGGAGAGATCAAGAGAGAAAAGTGAGAGAGAGAGAGAGAGAGGGGAGATCAAGTAAGGGATCAAAAGAAATAAATCGAGAGAGAGAGATCGAGAGAGACATGAAGAGAGAGACATGAAGAGAGAGACATGAAGAGAGAGACATGAAGAGAGAGAGAGAGAGAGAAATCACGAGAGAGAGAGACATGAAGAGAGAGATATCTAGATAGATCAAGGGATAGATAAATCAAGAGAGAGATAAAGATAGATCAAGAAAGTGAGATAAAAAGAGAGAGAGAGAGATCAAGAGAGAGATCAAGAGAGGGAAAGAGAGAGAGAGAGAGAAATCAATATAGAGATTAAGAGAAATCAAGAGAGAGTGAGATTAAGATAGAGATTAAGAGAAATCAAGAGATCAAGAGAGATCAAGAGAGAGATAATGAGAGAGATCAAAATAGAGAGATCAAGAGAGAGATCAAGAGAGTAAGATCAAGGGAGAGAAAGAGAGAGAGTAATCAAGAGAGAGAGAGAGATTAAGAGAGATGAAGAGAGAGATAGAAACTTATGTGTTATTCTGTACGATGTTACCGCTTCAGACACATACAACACTGGATGACAAAGAACAGCATCAACAAGCAATATCGTATTGAACAATGAACTTTTTTGTTGAAATATAACATTAACTGTATTGTTTATTTTCTTTTTTTTTGCTATCAGTTTTCTCGCTTTGCTTTCTCACCATTTTCTTTAGAAAACTCCTCAGTTTTCGACGAAAAGACCACAACATAAGCTTCGACTGCCATATTGAAAGATGGCGTCTTTGTTTTCAAAAAAACACACGCAGCAATGTCAAGAATTAGGCTCCTGGAGTTATATATATATATATATATATATATATATATATATATATATATATATATATATATACAAACGTTTCTGGTTATAATATATATATATATATATATATATATATATGTTATTCAAATTCAAACAGTATATTTAGTGGATAATTTAGTAATAAAAATACTTTGGAATAAAAATTTAAATACATTAATTCTTTATATATATATATATATAAAACTTCCAGAAATACTTCTCACATAATGGTAAGACTGTAGCTACATGAAGCTACATTGTTACTAATGTCTTACAAAATACCAGATATTTTTTAAATTGCTCTTCATGCATTTTTCAGAAATAAATCTATCTATCTATCTATCTATCTATCTATCTATCTCAGGCTGTTCATATCTTTTTATCTCAGTCTTTTTATATCTAAGTCTGTTATCATCTATCTATCTATCTATCTATCTATCTATCTCTGGCTGTTCATATCTTTTTATCTCAGTCTTTTTATATCTATCTATCTATCTATCTATCTATCTATCTATCTCAGGCTGTTCATATCTTTTTTTATCACAGTCTTTTTTATCTAAGTCTGTTATCTATCTATCTATCTATCTATCTATCTATCTCTGGCTGTTCATATCTTTTTATCTCAGTTTTTATATCTATCTATCTATCTATCTATCTATCTATCTATCTATCATCTATCTATCTCAGGCTGTTCATATCTTTTATCACAGTCTTTTTTATATCTAAGTCTATCTATCTATCTATCTATCTATCTATCTATCTATCTATCTCTATTGTTCATATCTTTTTATCTCATTATCTATCTATCTATCTATCTATCTATCTATCTATCCAGTCTGTTCATATATTTTTTATCTCAGTCTTTTTATATCTAAGAAAATTATCTATCTATCTATCTATCTATCTATCTATCTATCTATCTCTGGCTGTTCATATCTTTTATCTCAGTGTTTTTATATCTATCTATCTATCTATCTATCTATCTATCTCAGTCTGTTCATATCTTTTTATCTCAGTCTTTTTTATATCTAAGTCTGTTATCTATCTATCTATTCTATCTATCTATCTATCTATCTCTCTGTTCATATCTTTTTATCTCAGTCTTTTTTTATATCTATCTATCTATCTATCTATCTATCTATCTATATCTATCTCAGTCTGTTCATATCTTTTTATCACAGTCTTTTTTATATCTAAGTCTGTTATCTATCTATCTATCTATCTATCTATCTATCTATCTATCTCTGGCTGTTCATATCTTTTTATCTCAGTCTTTTTATATCTATCTATCTATCTATCTATCTATCTATCTATCTATCTATCTCAGTCTGTTCATATCTTTTATCTCAGTCTTTTATATCTAAGTCTGTTATCTATCTATCTATCTATCTATCTATCTCATCTATCTATCTATCTCTGGCTGTTCATATCTTTTTATCTCAGTCTTTTTATATCTATCTATCTATCTATCTATCTATCTATCTATCTATCTATCTCAGTCTGTTCATATCTTTTTATCTCAGTCTTTTTATATCTAAGTCTGTTATCTATCTATCTATCTATCTATCTATCTATCTATCTCTTTTTGTTTATCTTTTTTATCTCAGTCTTTTTATATCTATCTATCTATCTATCTATCTATCTATCTATCTCAGGCTGTTCATATCTTTTTATCACAGTCTTTTTATATCTAAGTCTGTTATCTATCTATCTATCTATCGATCTATCTATCTCTGGCTGTTCATATCTTTTTATCTCAGTCTTTTTATATCTATCTATCTATCTATCTATCTATCTATCTATCTATCTATCTATCTATCTATCTCAGTCTGTTCATATCTTTTTATCTCAGTCTTTTTATATCTAAGTCTGTTATCTATCTATCTATCTATCTATCTATCTATCTATCTCTGGCTGTTCATATCTTTTTATCTCAGTCTTTTTATATCTATCTATCTATCTATCTATCTATCTATCTATCTATCTCAGGCTGTTCATATCTTTTTATCACAGTCTTTTTATATCTAAGTCTGTTATCTATCTATCTATCTATCTATCTATCTATCTCTGGCTGTTCATATCTTTTTATCTCAGTCTTTTTATATCTATCTATCTATCTATCTATCTATCTATCTATCTCAGTCTGTTCATATCTTTTTATCTCAGTCTTTTTATATCTAAGTCTGTTATCTATCTATCTATCTATCTATCTATCTATCTATCTCTGGCTGTTCATATCTTTTTATCTCAGTCTTTTTATATCTATCTATCTATCTATCTATCTATCTATCTATCTATCTCAGTCTGTTCATATCTTTTTATCACAGTCTTTTTATATCTAAGTCTGTTATCTATCTATCTATCTATCTATCTATCTATCTCAGGCTGTTCATATCTTTTTATCACAGTCTTTTTATATCTAAGTCTGTTATCTATCTATCTATCTATCTATCTATCTATCTCTGGCTGTTCATATCTTTTTATCTCAGTCTTTTTATATCTATCTATCTATCTATCTATCTATCTATCTATCTATCTATCTCAGTCTGTTCATATCTTTTTATCTCAGTCTTTTTATATCTAAGTCTGTTATCTATCTATCTATCTATCTCTGGCTGTTCATATCTTTTTATCTCAGTCTTTTTATATCTATCTATCTATCTATCTATCTATCTCAGGCTGTTCATATTTTTATCACAGTCTTTTTTATATCTAAGTCTGTTATCTATCTATCTATCTATCTATCTATCTATCTATCTATCTCTGGCTGTTCATATCTTTTTATCTCAGTCTTTTTATATCTATCTATCTATCATCTATCTATCTATCTATTTCAGTCTGTTCATATCTTTTTATCTCAGTCTTTTTATATCTAAGTCTGTTATCTATCTATCTATCTATCTATCTATCTCTGGCTGTTCATATCTTTTTATCTCAGTCTTTTTATATCTATCTATCTATCTATTCATCTATCTATCTATCTCAGTCTGTTCATATCTTTTTATCACAGTCTTTTTATATCTAAGTCTGTTATCTATCTATCTATCTATCTATCTATCTATCTCTGGCTGTTCATATCTTTTTATCTCAGTCTTTTTATATCTAAGTCTGTTATCTATCTATCTATCTATCTATCTATCTATCTATCTATCTCTGGCTGTTCATATCTTTTTATCTCAGTCTTTTTATATCTATCTATCTATCTATCTATCTATCTATCTCAGGCTGTTCATATCTTTTTATCACAGTCTTTTTATATCTAAGTCTGTTATCTATCTATCTATCTATCTATCTATCTCTGGCTGTTCATATCTTTTTATCTCAGTCTTTTTATATCTATCTATCTATCTATCTATCTATCTATCTATCTCAGTCTGTTCATATCTTTTATCTCAGTCTTTTTATTTAAGTCTGTTATCTATCTATCTATCTTTGGCTGTTCATATCTTTTTATCTATCTTTTTATATCTATCTATCTATCTATCTATCTATCTATCTATCTATCTCAGGCTGTTCATATCTTTTTATCACAGTCTTTTTATATCTAAGTCTGTTATCTATCTATCTATCTATCTATCTATCTATCTATCTATCTCTGGCTGTTCATATCTTTTTATCTCAGTCTTTTTATATCTATCTATCTATCTATCTATCTATCTATCTATCTATCTATCTATTTCAGTCTGTTCATATCTTTTTATCTCAGTCTTTTTATATCTAAGTCTGTTATCTATCTATCTATCTATCTATCTATCTCTGGCTGTTTCATATCTTTTTATCTCAGTCTTTTATATCTATCTATCTATCTATCTATCTATCTATCTCAGTCTGTATATCTTTTCTCACAGTCTTTTTTATATCTAAGTCTGTTATCTATCTATCTATCTATCTATCTATCTATCTCTGGCTGTTCATATCTTTTTATCTCAGTCTTTTTTATATCTATCTATCTATCTATCTATCTATCTATCTATCTATCTCAGGCTGTTCATATCTTTTTTTATCACAGTCTTTTTTATATCTAAGTCTGTTATCTATCTATCTATCTATCTATCTATCTATCTATCTCTGGCTGTTCATATCTTTTTATCTCAGTCTTTTTATATCTATCTATCTATCTATCTATCTATCTATCTATCTATCTATCTCAGGCTGTTCATATCTTTTTATCTCAGTCTTTTTATATCTAAGTCTGTTATCTATCTATCTATCTATCTATCTATCTATCTCTGGCTGTTCATATCTTTTTATCTCAGTCTTTTTATATCTATCTATCTATCTATCTATCTCAGGCTGTTCATATCTTTTTATCACAGTCTTTTTTATATCTAAGTCTGTTATCTATCTATCTATCTATCTATCTATCTATCTATCTATATCTGGCTGTTCATATTTTTATCTCAGTCTTTTTATATCTATCTATCTATCTATCTATCTATCTATCTATCTATCTCAGGCTGTTCATATCTTTTTATCACAGTCTTTTTTTATATCTAAGTCTGTTATCTATCTATCTATCTATCTATCTATCTAATATCATATTTTTTATCTCAGTCTTTTTATATCTATCTATCTATCTATCTATCTATCTATCTATCTATCTCAGTCTGTTCATATCTTTTTATCTCAGTCTTTTTATATCTAAGTCTGTTATCTATCTATCTATCTATCTATCTATCTATCTCTGGCTGTTCATATCTTTTTATCTATATCTATCTATCTATCTCAGGCTGTTCATATCTTTTTATCACAGTCTTTTATATCTAAGTCTGTTATCTATCTATCTATCTATCTATCTATCTATCTATGGCTATTTCATATCTATTTATCTCAGTCTTTTATATCTATCTATCTATCTATCTATCTATCTATCTATCTATCTATTCAGTCTGTTCATGTCTTTTTTATCTCAGTCTTTTTATATCTAAGTCTATTATCTATCTATCTATCTATCTATCTATCTATCTATCTCTGGCTGTTCATATCTTTTATCTCAGTCTTTTTATATCTATCTATCTATCTATCTATCTATCTATCTATCTATCTCAGTCTGTTCATATCTTTTATCTCAGTCTTTTTATATCTAAGTCTGTTATCTATCTATCTATCTACTGTTCATATCTTTTTATCTCAGTCTTTTTATATCTATCTATCTATCTATCTATCTATCTATCTATCTATCTATCTCAGGCTGTTCATATCTTTTTATCACAGTCTTTTTATATCTAAGTCTGTTATCTATCTATCTATCTATCTATCTATCTATCTATCTATCTCTGGCTGTTCATATCTTTTTATCTCAGTCTTTTTATATCTATCTATCTATCTATCTATCTATCTATCTATCTATCTATCTATCTATTTCAGTCTGTTCATATCTTTTATCTCAGTCTTTTTATATCTAAGATCTATTATTATCTATCTATCTATCTATCTATCTCTGGCTGTTCATATCTTTTTATCTCAGTCTTTTATATCTATCTATCTATCTATCTATCTATCTATCTCAGTCTGTTCATATCTTTTCTCACAGTCTTTTTATATCTAAGTCTGTTATCTATCTATCTATCTATCTATCTATCTATCTATCTCTGTTCATATCTTTTATCTCAGTCTTTTTATATCTATCTATCTATCTATCTATCTATCTATCTATCTCAGGCTGTTCATATCTTTTTATTTGTCTGTTATCTTTTTATCTCAGTCATCTATCTATCTATCTATCTATCTATCTATCTATCTCATATTTTTTTATCTCAGTCTTTTATATTATCTATCTATCTATCTATCTATCTATCTATCTATCTATCTCAGGCTGTTCATATCTTTTTATCTCAGTATTTTTTTTATAATCTGTTATCTATCTATCTATCTATCTATCTATCTATCTCAGGCTGTTCATATCTTTTTATCTCAGTCTTTTATATCTATCTATCTATCTATCTATCTATCTATCTATCTCAGGCTGTTCATATCTTTTTATCACAGTCTTTTTATATCAGTCTGTTATCTATCTATCTTCATCTATCTATCTATCTATCTATCTATATCTGGCTGTTCATATCTTTTTATCTCAGTCTTTTTATATCTCTATTTTCTATCTATCTATTTATCTATCTATCTATTATCTATCTCAGGCTGTTCATATCTTTTTATTCAGTCTTTTTATCTATCTATCTATCTATCTATCTATCTATCTATCTATCTATGTTCATATCTTTTTTTATCTCAGTCTTTTATATCTATCTATCTATCTATCTATCTATCTATCTATCTATCTATCTATCTCAGTCTGTTCATATCTTTTTATCTCAGTCTTTTTATATCTAAGTCTGTTATCTAATCTATCTATCTATCTATCTCTGGCTGTTCATATCTTTTATCTCAGTTTTTTTTATATTCATCTATCTATCTATCTATCTCAGGCTATATCTTTTTATCACAGTCTTTTTTATATCTAAGTCTATTATCTATCTATCTATCTATCTATCTATCTAATCTATCTCAGGCTGTTCATATCTATTTATCTCAGTCTTTTTATATATCTATCTATCTATCTATCTATCTATCTATCTATCTATCTCAGTCTGTTCATGTCTTTTTATCTCAGTCTTTTTATATCTAAGTCTGTTTATCTATCTATCTATCTATCTATCTATCTATCTATCTCTGGCTGATATCTTTTATCTCAGTCTTTTTATATCTATCTATCTATCTATCTATCTATCTATCTATCTTTGTTCATATCTTTTTATCACAGTCTTTTTTACATCTAAGTCTGTTATCTATCTATCTATCTATCTCTGGCTGTTCATATCTTTTTATCTCAGTCTTTTTATATCTATCTATCTATCTATCTATCTATCTATCTATCTATGTGTTAATTCACATATGTAGCTATACTTGATATATATCTATATATTAAAAATTTGGGTATATGTTCCCGATAGAGTTAAAAATTGTTGACAATTGGAAGAACATTTCTGAAAGTATAATGTTTAAAAAAAAAAAAAAAAAACTATGTATTTTCACCGATTAGGCTTCATCAAATTGTGTGTGTATGTATTTGTGTATGTTTAAAATAATGCAAATATTATATTTTTCCAAAGCTGACCTTGCTCATGACTATAGAAGAGAAAGAAAATGAGTGAATTTTAAAAAAAGTCGTTTGACATTTTGTTCTTTGCTTTACGTATGCGTTTTTATTGTCAGTAATATATATATATATATATATATATATATATATATATATATATATATATATGTACCTATATGTGTGAAGATTTTTCAGATTTTAGATTTCCTAATTTATGTCTAAACTACATATTTGTCAACTAATATTGACGCCTCGCTTTCGTACATGTCTTTCCATATTTTGACACGTAATGACTCAACCGCACTGACTATTTTGAAATATAGATTTATTTTCCAGGCCGAAATTATATTAAGAACAAATGTGATCTCGAATATCATCTTGGAAATTGTAGATATGCCGGATGTTGTTACTATTTTGATCCTGATTCCCATCGCTTTCAAAATATTACGAAAAGAAAAAATAAAACAAAACACTTTTGTTCTTTCGCTGCCTTCCATCAGCATGACTGGCACTAACCTTTCATGAGAATGGCAAATTTTCCTACTCGGACTTATATTATCGTCTGACATGAAGAGGACAGTTTATATTGAATCCATTGCTTAATCTGTCAAGAAATTTGGTTCATTTTGCTTGACAATTTTTCTCACCGGAATCTATCTGATATTATTTATAAGGCTACCATTCGTGCATTCTTTGATTATTTTAAACCACATATGGTCTGGTGTTCCTCTTGTTATCTAGGAATTCTTGATAAAAATGTGTGTGTATGTGTATATTTTAATTTTAATTAAATACTAATTTGCATAAAAAGTTTTCCAAAACATCGCCTACTTTATTTATTAGATATTAGACATTGAATTATGTCATTTCTTATCCTTCATAGTTTGCCTGACATTTCAGCTAACCTGATAAATATTTATGAGAGTTTTTGAATTAAAATTTTTTAAAGCACTAATAACATTTTTGCTCTTGTATATAAATGCTTGTTAGAAAATAAAATCGTTACATTTGCCTTTGATAAATTCCTACAAAGGACGAAACGCGTCGGCCAAGAGAAATTTTGCTTTTGTCTTTATTCATATATATATATATATATATATATATATATATATATATGTGTGTGTGTATATATATGTATATATATATATGCAATTTTTATATAATTTATATATTATACATGTGCGGTAATTATTGAAAGCGCCCAATATGAGTAATAGAGCTAACATGTTTAGTTATATATATATATATATATATATATATATATATATATAGTTGGATTGATGTGAGTTTGTGAAGCTGGGTTTCACGCTATTTGCGATCATCAGACAAACTCTGACGATCGCAAATAGCATGAAACCCAGAGTCACAAACTCACATCAATCCAACGATATATATATATATATATATATATATATATATATATGTGTGTGTGTGTGTGTGAATATTGAAATCAACACACAGAGACGACAAGCTGTTTCATGCACACACACTTTATTCCATAAATATAGCACACTTAAAACTATATTTCACATATACACACACACACACACACACACACATATATATATATATGATAATGAATACAGAATCATTAAAAACCATCGGGTCAGGTTATTAATTTATTTCGTCCACATAGATTTTTTTATGGATTCTGTATTCATTAAATATATATATATATATATATATATATATATATATATATATATATATATATATATCGTTCTGTTCTTACAATGACCTCTCTTTGGATTTATATCCTCCATGGAATTATCCATACTAATATAACAATTATGGGCTCTCCCGTCGGTTTCGGCGTATGAGGATCTTACAGCTTATTGATTCAGTTATGAAAGTTTGTGCGATAATCTTAAGTTGCATTTAAGACCCGCTAGTGATTTACAAAGGATGTCACATATGGAGCAAGTGTGAGGATTGTGAGATGTGATCACCGTTAGATTGGATGACCTTTTAGATCTTGCTCTCGATTCTTGAAGATGATTCAGACATGCAGATTGAAAATTGCTGAGTCCACTAAAACACGTTGATCTCCATTCTACCCGCTCCAAAGCTAAGCGCTCAAGGGTGTTATGTGGTATATTGACTGCTGACAAGTTGCTTTTCAGATTGTCTTTGTATCTTGGGCGTCCTACATTCCTGTAGCCTTGATCTAACTGGCTGTACATTAGGATCTTGGGTATCCTGTCATCAGACATTCTCAAGACATGACCAGTCCACCGTAACTGAGACACTGTATCATAAAAGTCTCGATTCCTCCAATATTACACCTGTTAAACGGGTCTACGTTAGATGTCCTATCTTGAAGCTTAACTCCACAGATTGCATATATACATATATATATATACATAGTATAGTACAGTATATATATATATATATATATATATATATATATATATATTAATCAATTCATGCCAAGGAAGGTGATAATGCCACTAAGACGCAAGGGATTACTGGGAGTGGAAGGTAATGTGAAGAATTTAGGGAGGAGAAAGGACAATAAGAGAACAACGTTTCGAAAGGTAGAGGATATCAATCGACGTTGCATTTTAACTTTTGAAGATTGTAGTTTACAGGGAGGCAAGTTTTTTACCAGGATTTTACCAAAGTTTTCTAGAAAAGAAATATTTCTAAAATAATTTCATTCATTTGTGAATAGTTCCATTCAAATCCAATAACTATCTGAGTTTTGCAAAAATTTCCAAATCAACGTTTGTCATCGCAAAAAGTCTCTAAAATTTCTTATTTTAATCTTTGGTCTACCTCGCTAACGCAAGAAGCTCGACATCAATTCGAACATTCTATAAGGATCAAAAATATAATTAAATAATAAAAAAAATTCCTTTGGTCTTTCCTCTTAATAATAACATAAAGATTCTGATGATAAAACTTTTTATTAAGTTTGGGGCATTTTTTCATCATGTTTTTTCTCATCGTCTAGCGAATATGTGGTGGTACCTATATTAGAATGTGAATTCTTCATTTAAATTAGTGCTTCTCAATTTTTTAAAAAAATTAAGAAATTTATTAAGTGAAGAAAATTATATTATATTATAAAATGTATAGAATGTTTTCACTCACAACACTTACAATGTTACCATAAAAACAAACTAGTAACCGTACCATACCACTGTGACAAGTTTATCTTTTTTTTTGTCCTCTCCGTGTCCCATCGGCGAGAAGTTCCACTCAGACAGCATCTTCTCACGAACCACTTACTCTGTGCAACGGACTCCCAAGAGGATGCTTTCCTGATCACTACAATCTCAACCGTTATCTTCCCCTTCTATCCATATAAACTACCCTTTAACATAACGTGGCGTAGCATTTTTCTGTAATTTCTACAAATATTTCCATGACAACTGATCTGATGAGCTTTTTTTCCCAGGTGCCCGTTTATATGAATTTACATTTTTGCAGATTAAAGTTGGCTGGAAAGCATGGAGCCGGAAAAGAGTTCCACAAGCGAGAGAAGAAACTATTAGCATAGAACTTGCGGTTACATCTAGCCAGCTCAATTGTCAATTGATGAGATCTTGACACCTGTCTAGTACTGCGCTTAATTTCATAAAGTCTAGCTACCATAGCGAAGAACTCATCACTATAAAAGTATTTATAAAAAAAGTCACAAAGAGGCAACCTTACGACGGGGGGGGGGATGACTGAAGGTGAGCTACAAGATCAGGACCAATAATATTGCTGATTCTTCTTTGGATTTTAGCAAGGAGATCAAGGTAAATAGCACCGGACCCTATGTGACAGCAATATTCTAAGCATGGGCGAATGGTAGACTTATAGATATATAAGATAGATTCTGGAGAGGAAAATTATCTCGCCCGACACAGTGGACCAACTTTCTTAGCAGCTGACTTAGTAATCGACTCAATATAGTCTTTCTACTTCATGTCAGCCGAGAATGTTATCCGGAGGAGGCACAATGAGTCACTTTCTTGGAGGTTAGCATCAGCCATGGAAGGCAGAGAGGTGTCATCTGATTAATGGAGAGTAGTCTAGTTTTGGCGCGTTAAAATTAAGAAGCCATCTTTCGATCTAGTTAACGACGAACTTGAGGTCGTTTTGGGTATCGGCTGCTATTTTGATCTTGTCGGATTGATCAGCCTTACTCTCCAGGCAGGAGTAAATGACCCAGTCATCAGCGTAGATACCAAGTTGAGGGCTGATGTCATTGGAATGGTCATTAATGAAAATTAAAAGTAGGGTAGGACCAAGGATGGAGCCCTTGTGAGGATACCCGCGTTAATACGAAAGGATCTAGACGAGTGGCCGTTAAAGATAACCTTCATTTCACGATTTGATAAGAAAGACTATTTACTTAAAACCGTATAACATGTACACTCGAATTCTTATTCATATTATATACCCGGGATAAGCAAACTTGTTTAATTTAAGAGCCACATACGGTAAAGTTCAGATGTTTGCGAACCGCAAGACATGACTAAAATTTACACATCCGTTTTTATTACATACACATTAACATTTAAACTTCCGTTTTAATCCAATGGGGTCTCAATTAATACCCAGTAAATAATTATAAAGCTTCACATTTTTCTTATTTAACTTTTATATTTAAGGAAAAAAAACCCAACTCAACCAACATATTTCCACGAGCCGCATATTAAAGTTCAAAGAGCCGCATGTGGCTCAAGAGCCGCGGTTGGGCACCCTTGTAATATAATATATCGGGACTTATTTCAGGAAAAACAAATGCGTCCTTGACGCTGGCAAGTACGGTAAGCTAAAAGCATTGAGTCCTCAGTATATAAAA